CAATTTGGGTTTAAGTCTAGAAAACAAGGAGCCCAGAGGACCCCCATCTTAATAGGGAAGTTGGTTTCCAATAAGATTTGTAGGGAACTAGCTTACGGGACGGCAACGTTGACTTTAACTTTCTCCGCATGCAAACCTGACTGTCAAGACTAGTTGGTTAGTTATTATAACTAAACATCGTTACGGCAATAGAAAGTTCTTCAAAGGAGCCAAAGTCCCAATGAGATCATGTTTACCAAGGTTGAAAAAAGGGTTCTCGGGGGGGTTGGACTGAGACACAACTGAGGGTTTCGCCCCCCCCCACCCCCCCCCCCCCGCGTTGTCGCCATTAAATTTTCAAAAAGTTTCCAGAGTTTTTACGACGTTGGATGACAGTGTTTGACCTACTTACACTTTAATAAAACAATTTTCCTTCCTACTTTCGAAATCCTTTCGTGATTAACCTCACTGCACTACCAATAACCTGAGTCTAAGGGTACGTCAAACCAAGGGCGAACATACTTCTTTAATTTTTCTGTGCGTTCACCTTTTGTAAGTGTCTTCCCTAATTGACAAAATTTTGTTGTACGAAGTTTCATTTCGACCTTAAAACGGCTACACAAACAATACACCTAAGTTTTTTCAAACATTTATTAGAATGGTTTTTACCTCCTTCTGGCTAAACTTTTAGCCTCGTTGGCACTTGTTTTATTAGGTGACTTTGACCCGTTACCTGTTACTGATACAAAATTTTTACGCGGAAATAGGCTTGTCGGACAAACCTGTGAAAATGCCCGTCTTTTCTTTGGTTAAAGGATAATTTCCTTTTCTAATATTGTAACGACCAGGAAAAAAAAATACGGAAATAATCGATGATTGAACTTAAAGAGTTAAGTTTAATAGTGTAATTAAACAAATATACAATTACCATTACTCTTTGTCCGGAAAAATCACTGTTGAGTACCATAACCGCAATGTTAATATAATTTCTTTTTTTTTTTTTTTTCAGATTTAATACTTATTAACCCGGAGTTTAGTAGAACTTCCGAACCGCGGGGGGGAACGCTAGAAACCGCGGTGGGTTCCAACCCCTTGGTTGGACGAAGTCTTTTATTAACATTCTTCCGGGCGATTTACAAATTTACCGAGCTCTTGTCTCTGTCTTGGAAAAGTTCTACTGTTTAAGTTCACTTTTTTTCTGCCGCCGCCCCCTTTTAACCACAATTACGAGATTTGTTCTTTCCAGGTCACACTTTATCTTGTGCCAAAGCGGGACCGAATTTGTATCTTTTTTCTTTTTTTTTGTACCTTAGTGTGCCCTGTGGTTGTCACCAGGAAAAAGACACTCCGAGGTCACAAAAATTTCCAGTTATTAGGTTGGTTTTTAAGAGGGAAGTACGTGAAACCTTCCGAGAAATATGAAAGGGACAAGTTGTTTATTACGCCTTTTAACTAAATCTCACAAAAAAATTGTTTTTTTATCGTCACTTTGATTAAGGAACTTTCCATGAACAGTGCCGATCCGTTTGGTCATACTGGGTTTTCGTTTGCGCTGAGCGTTTGTTCATGATTTTATTTGCAGAAATTGACTTTTTTATCACTTGTGACACTGAAGAAGGGCATCCCATTGCCAAAGCTATTGTTTTTTGTGGAATGTTCCTTTTCTATTTCCATTTAAGGTTTTGGAGCCAGGAAATCGAGAATCGTCTATTGTACCTAAAGTTGCGAACCGTTCAGTCCGTGTTACCTGCTTTGCTGACCCCGTTTGTTTCTGTTCCCTCGTGTTCTTTTTGATTTATTCATCCGTCCGATTGGAGGGTCAAAGGTGGCCCAGGCAGACGCGGCACGACGCGGCGCAAATGCGGACGCGGCGCCGCCAGCATCCTTAGCGCCGGTAAGATTCAGTTACCCACATAAAGGTTGGTGTGCGCGGCGCAATGCCGTGTCCTGCGCAGTGCCGTGTCTTGCCAGGTTCTTTCGCCGACCCGCGTCGCGAAAGAGATAATTCCTACTTTTTAGGATAAAAATGGCCGCGCGCATCGGCATTGAATTCCCGGGCCCGTCCGGTCGGGGGGGAGGCGTTCTTCACCTTTCCACTCGTTAGCCCGCGTTCCGGGTAGGGAGTGTTAATGAGTAAATCGGTTGGGGGAGAAGTAGCTTGTTGTGGAGGTTGAATGCTTATGCGTGTTACCCTGGTGGCTCCCAAAAAGTAGTACCCTGTCACCTTTTTTTTGTCATTTAAAATAATACTACATTGGTTAACGAAAATGAGTTCCTCGTTGTGTTAGTCTTTCCTGTTCCGGACCAAAAATCAGCGACGTTCAAAACACCTCTACCTTTTAGGTTTGTATTAAATAATTAATATGTGCTTAATGTGTGTGTTTATCTTTGACGCCCTGTCTCGTGCGTGCTGCGATGCGAAGACTTTGCGAAGACTTTTTGCGAGAGACCCTGCGCAGCCACCAACTTACCGCCGAGTTTCCGGTTTTGGCGCCGCGTCGGCACCTTCGCCGCGTCTGCCTTGGGTCACCTTTG